TGGAAAGATCATACATACCATTCTGATAACATCTGTATATTCTTTTTGCAATTGCTAAGCACCAGGATCTGGCTATCTCCTAAAGTTAATGCACCTTGAAGTGTGCAAGATAGTGAGTTCAATTCCCAATAGAGGGTTATAATCCCATGGAATAAGATCAGGTTACTCCTGTCTAATGAGTTTTAATACAGTAGGACAGAAATGGATGTAGTGTCTCTTGGTATCGATGTACAATGTATAGTCCTCAACTTATGACCACAATTGAGCCCAAAATTTATGTGAGTAAGGAATTTGTTAAGTGAACTTTGCCCCATTTTACGACTTTCCTTGCCACATTTTTAAAGTCGCATTTGTTAAGAATCACTGAAGTTGTTAAACTAGTAACACGGTTGTTAAGTGAATCTGACTTCACCATTGACTTTACTTATCAGAAGCTCACAAAGGGACACTCCAACTGTAATAACTATGAGTCAGTTGCCAAGTGGTCGCATTTTGATCATGTGACCATGAGGATGCTTGTAAGTGTGAAAAAATGGTCATAAGTGACTTTTTTCAGTGCCACTGTAACTTTGAATGGTCACTAAACAAATTATTGTAAGTCAAGGACTACCTGTACTGAAATAATGAAGTACTGGAATGATGGGGGGAAGTCCCTCTCCCCTCCAACACTGGTCACCTGTATAAAGAGAGGAAATAAAAGGAAGAGAATGTGCTCACTTTGTGATTCCATTTTTACAAAAAAATTATTTGAGTCTCGGTAGTCTGGGCTGCTGGAGAAGGAACCTAAGATAAAGTCTAAAGATGATGGGCAATGCCTTGCAGGTAACTCTACCCTTTTCTTCGTGCAGCATCTCAGTTGGCAGATTTTACCTGCTGGCTGGAGACATGAAGGGGAGGGAGGGCAGCAAAATTAGAAATCAACAAATCACTTTATCTTCACATGCGAAATCAAAACCGTGCCAATTAGCCACCTGTCATAACAGACTACACAAGGATGAGGACAGCAAATGGAATCCTTAGTAGTTCATTAGTTCAAGGCAAAATTAATAGCACTTGGATAAGACAGTGGAGAAATGCCCCATGTTTTTGTTGTTCTGAAGGAGGCAGTGAATCAAACCTGGGCAAACTTCAGTTTTCATTTACAGACTTAAGAGAATTCCATTACACATGGAATGAAAGGTAGAAAAATCAACTATCCCTCCTCTTTTAGAAGGCAGTACATCCAGGAAAAAAAAATCATTATTACTAATACATGAGTGAAATGAAATGTACACAGCCTGCTTTTCATTTCAAGAGTTGCAATGCAATATACTCAGCGTGAGATATTCCCAGATCATCATAATTCAGCAGTGTGAAAATTAATTAGATAATCAGAAAGAAAATACAAAACCTTGGACAAGTCACTAGATGGGAGTGGTCTGCTATGAATAAAGAATGCTGTCCCCAAATTTTAGAGTTGATTATGAGAGAGTTCAAAGTAATCTTGGTCACAAGAGGATTTTAAAGACAAAAATGATGACTTCATGAATATAGACTTAAGTATAAGGGAAGGCTTAGTTAAACACCCTATTTATAGGGAGCAAGATTGTAAACCTTAACACTACACAAAACCCCCTAGAAATAAAAACTCCAATGCAAATTCCGGGGTATCTATTTCATCTATTGCTACTTTCGTCAAGGGTGGCTCAGTGGCTAAGACACTGAGCTTGTCGATCAGAAAGATTGACATTTCGGTGGTTCAAACCCTAGCACCACGTAACCAAGTGAGTTCCCATTACTTGTCCCAGCTTCTGCAAACCTAGCAGTTCGAAAGCATGTAAAAATGCAAGTAGAAAAATAGGGACCACCTTTGTTGGGAAGGTAACAGCATTCTGTGCGGCTTTGGCGTTTAATCATGCCAGCCAAGGAGACGTCTTCGGACAGCGCTGGCTCTTCGGCTTTGAAACAGAGATGAGCACTACCCCCTAGAGTCAGGAATGACTAGCATGCATGTGTGAGGGGAACCTTTACCGTTACCTTACTTTCGTCAGAGAAGATTCTCAGTCATCCAGGTTGAATTGTCTGGAAGTTTAAGTCACGACAACTGGACTTATTTGTTGGTTTGAGACTTTTCGCTGCCCATCCAAGCAGGTTCTTCAGTCTGAACATATTGATTAGGGGAATCTGAATAAGCCGATAATAGTTGGAATGTGTCTAAAATCCTTAGGGATTATTTCTTTATCAACTTCAGGGTCCCCCCCCCACCAAACTGCTTGGCAATATGTCAGTGAAGATACTCAATCATCCAGGTAGAGTTGTCTGCTAATATCGCAAACCAACAAGAAAATAAGTGCAATTGCCATGACTCAACTTATTGCTACTGAAACAAGTTGGACTACAGCTTCTTCCAAGTGTTCTTCTGAGGCCCTTGCACAGGTGGAAATGCCCTTCCTCAATGCTCCCCCCTTTTTTTTTCTTATTCCAGTTTCTATAATTCTTCTGGCAAGAGACCCAAGCCATCCCCCCTGCTACCTTAGTACTAAAGCCATTCAAAAGTATTCAGTGGTATCATCAGAGCAAAGTTTGAACCATAAAGAATGATTTCAAATTTCAAGTTCATCCACATATCCTGTGACCACAGATGCATTTGGAAACAACATTTGCATTCTATTACATTGGTAATAACTAAAAGCTTCAAGCTCTCTTTTCATAGGTGTCATGGGGGAGGGAAAACCCTTCTGTTATAAATGCTTTAAGGTTTTATGTATACTTACTGTTGCCATAGCTTTATCACTGGAGAACTGTAATTGGCTTTAAAAAAAAAGATTTATTAGTGTAGTAAACATTGTAAAAGTTGAGACCTGAAAGGATTAGAGACCCTAAATCTGATCTGTCAATCAAAACTCACTTGGCAATATAAGCAGGGAATAAAACCATGGGAAAATCAAACACAATTCAGCCAATCAGGAGTGGATAAAGGTCCTCTTTTAGGTAAGCTTTTAGAAAGAGGAAGGGGCAGCTCCATTTTGTCTTTGTTTCTTTTTTTCTCTCTTGGAAAGAATTGGAGATTGGTCTGGCTGTAAGCCAAGTAAGTCAAATTCCAAATCCCTAAGCATCTTAGTTGAGAAATTCAAGAAAAATATAGCAATATAGGGAAGACTGAAGCTAGATGTACATTATAACTTTGGATTGTATTTGAGCTATGGGCCTTATCTTGTCTACTTATGTGTGTATGTGCATATATTACCTTTCTTAAGGAACAAGCATCTATGTAAACCTCCCAAAAGTCAAAATGTTATTTACTTCCCTTTCTTCCATTGCCTTTCAGATTCCATTTATTCTTTTAATCTTGATACGCACAGTAAAGAATTGCATTTCTGAGAAAATGAGCACACTGATACAGAGCTTAATTGTTCCATCACCCTCTCCCCTTCATTCTGTCATTCTAATAGGAGGGAACTCCCAACCGCAACAAAATTGTCAAACTACAGCATATAAACACAAGGAAACCCCACACTCACTTGCACTGACATTACCTAGTTGGGTAATAAAATCTCTACAAGTAAGCAAGCAAGCAAGCAAGCAAGCAAGCATCCATTCTCAGAGATTACCAAGTGCTCCATGGTCATCATTTGGCCTGCTTAGTTAGCTGAAGAGAAAAGCAGGGCAAGAGGTCTGCCAATTTCCTCCTCCCAAGTAAAGCAGTGCAAAAACAGATTTATTCTTTGGAATAGTAAAGTAGATGTAGTGACAGCCGAGGTGGGTGGATATTCCAAGAACTCCTTCAAGGGAGCCAGAGAATCTAGTCCACCAATGTTGTGCATGGACTTCTGTAAGCAAATGCGGTTACAACTGTGGTCAAAGAATGTTTTAGAATCTTTTTTTCTGGAGATTCTGTGGGGGCTTATTTCTGAATAGACATGATAGGATTACACTGCAAATTATCACTGAAGCACCTTGATTGCAAGGCTTAATAAGATGAATTTTTGAAATGCTTTCTATTTCCCCCCATGAGAAGTGATAGAATGTTGACTGAGTAACAATTAACAATTAATGAAAGGAATTAAAGAACAAGAAATGATAATTCAGTCATTGGAAAATATCAAATCTGAAAGAAAATTACTTATGTGATCATTTTTAAAGTTTATCTTCATAATTTGCTATAAATAATGAAAACTGTTTTAATTACATAACAATTACAAAGGGAAGAAATTATAGTGATTTTGTTTAAAAATAAAGGAGTTCTATACTAAATATTTATTTGTAAATAAATATTCAGCACATATACCTAAGTGCAATGATGTCCTACATAACACAAATTGTACTGCATGAAAATTCTTCTAAATCAGAATATCTGTGCATTCAATAAATACATTTATATGTTGGGGAGAACATGTGTGTGTGAGAGAGAGGGGGGGACCTTTTTGTGTGCTATGCAACATGCAACACTGACCCATGGCTTTCTTATTCTTCCTCCTATGTACATCTCCTGTGTATTCCATTGGGAGATTAATCTATTTTCTAGATTTATAATTACTGGTACATGATTTATTCTTTTTCTTCCTGTAACTATTATCCTTTCATTTTTGTTTCTTTCACCCATTTCTGTTTTTCTTACTAGGAACATTTTTCTTATATTCATTTTTCCTAAGATTCAATCTTGACTCTAGCAAAAAAAAAAAATCTCCTATTTGGAACCACTCATCATCCTCTTATTGTCCATCAGTTATATCATTCATCTTAAACAATCAAACCAGTCATTTGATTCCGTTTGTATGCATTAATTCACTTTTTCTGGAATCATGTATTTGAAACAAAAAGACCTTTAATTCTCTTTGGATTGCAGAAATTTGTATTTTGTAATATATATTTTGAGTCTTTCATTTAATATTCAACTGGAACCTTTATTTCCATACAAATATTTCTTCCATACAAAGAATATTATGTACATTATATATTGCTAATAAATAAACACAAATATTCATGTGTTTTTGTTATAAATATTTTTTTTCTCCCTGCAGTTGATGGGGTGTGTGTATATAAATGCTTGGTTAATAAAGATACTGAATATTGCCGTGTAGGAAAAGAATCCATTTTGATAACACTTGGTTACAACAGCGCCTTACTACAATTCACATCACATTCTGGTAAGTGGCTAGATATTTTATATCTACAGCTACAGTGATAGTCAAAGATTCTCAGGTGTTAGATTTGTTAGACCAACTTGCTACTCACTATTTGATTGAGGACTGATTGAGGTAAAATGGGCAAGGAGTAGAGAATGATCTGGTGCTGTGATCCTTATTTGACATTCTGAAGAACCTGCTGTTTCAAGCTTTTAAAAATCAACTTGGACTTATCCTACTCCCAAGTTAGTTTAATTTGATAATTCATTGACTGTATATGTTTTATCTTTGCTGATGTTTGTAGAGAATTTATATTTTTCAAGATAATTCAAATAATGGTGATATTAAGGCCTAACTTAAATCACTTACACACACAAACACACACATACACCAAAAGTTTACAGTCCTCTAATTGTTTATAACGGAATATTTGTGGTGATTTATTTGAGAATTGCATCATTCTATATTGAGACTTACTGTGATTTAAGTTTTCCATCTCCTGTTTCTTTTCTCTTTATTTTGACAACTGTTAGTCTGAACTGAATTCATGCAGAGGATTGTTATATTCCAGCATCCGGTTTATACCATTTAGACAGCAGTAAATCATACGTAGTGTTTTCTGCTTCCTGTGTAACATGTGTGCAACATCTGAATAGCATCAAGATGGCTATAAAATGGGTTTTTAGTGTGTCTAATATATGAGTTAGTTTTTTGCAAAGTAAAGCTATCCGTCTAGAACAATTCAAGTAATAGAAGTGCAGTCTACCATCTACTAACCAGTACACTTTCCCACAATAGTCTAAATGTTCAGCAGGTAAGCCAATTTCTATGTAAATACCTGCTTTAGAAATTTTATGGGAATAAAAATATAAGTGGGCAGATGGAACTATAAATTTATCTTGCCTTGGTAGCCAGTGGTTATTGATGGATGTTACTTATCTCTGTCTTCTGAAGAAAAACATTGAACTAGTCCTGGCACGCACCAACAGAAGGGAAGGTCAGTTTTAGCTTTTGCATGATATTTAGAGACACCAGGAAGCAACAAGTGCAGTTTCTGCTGCTTTCAATTCAGTTCAATGATATTTATTTGGTCCAAATGTTGATCACGTGACCATAGGGAATGCTTCAGTGGTCATCAGTGTGAAAAACAGTCATAAGTCCCTTTTTTTCAATGACATTGTAACCTCAAACAGTCACTAATTGAATGATTGAAAGCCGAGGATTATTGTAGGTTAAAAATTGAGACAGTTGATCTTTGCAAAGAATATTTTAATGGGCAGCATTATTTCTAATTGCAATGACTGTTGCTCCTCCTCCTGCTCTCATTAGGGAGTGCTTGCTGCAGATAATCTATTTCTACCTAGGCCCTCCTAAACTTTTTGAACTGTTCAAAAAATGTGGGAAAATACAATTTCATTAAAAGAATCAGCAGTTGAGGTATTTTAAGGGCGGAAATGCGTAGAAAAGAGCAGATGATATAATTTCTATCTACAGCAGTGTTTCTCAACCTTGGCGACTTTAAGCTGTGCTGGCTGGGGGATTCTGGGTGTTGAAGTCCACAGGACTTAAAGTTGCCAAGGTTGAAAAACACTGATCTACAGCTATGGCATATTTTACTGGAATTTTGAATTATCTCTTGTGCAGAATAAAGACCAACTTGATAATAATTCAGTTACCTTTCTTACATTTGTGTTCCCTGCCTGCTTTGGTTTTGTGTTTAATGTTCCTATACTTTAACTTTATTCATTCTTTTCCAGAATATAACATGTTTTCAAATACACTGAACAGCTGTAGGAATATAAATAAGGAACATTCTGTATTCAGTCAGAGAACAGAAGACTCCTCTGCATCTCAGTATTTTCAGGTAAAGAACTGTTGTTTCGTAATATGTTCCATATTTCCCAGGGGGATTAGGGTAACCTGTTGCAGAAAAAAAGATAATTTTTGTAGCAACATAAATGTCTAACTAATGCATGCAAAAAACTTATGCCATAATCAGTTTTTAAAAAAAAATTTCAGTGGCTATGGA